TGTACGAATTGCCCGCTTTAAAACAGGCACAGTCGGATATATGGCCAATCAAAACTTCAACTCAACTAGAGAAACCACGATGGATAATTGTGGCATTTCAACGAAGCGGTAAAAAGTTTTCACACGAAGCAAGAGCGGCCAATTTCGATAACATCAATATTCGAAATTTAAAACTGCATCTCAACTCGGAAAGTTATCCGTACGAAGCGATGCATTTAGATTTTAATGCCAACAAGTACATCATTGCATATCAAAACTATTTAAACTTTCGGCGCGATTATTACTCGAAAGATGAGCATCAAGACGCCCTCTTTGACTATTTGTATTTTAAAAGTTGCCCCATCTTCGTGCTGGACTGTTCAAAGCAAAACGAATCTCTGAAGCATTCGACGGTAGATGTTAAGTTGGAAATGGAGTCGATGGAGGCCTTCGAGGCGGGAACGGTTGCCTATTGTCTGATCCTGCACGATGCACTAATTCAATACAATCCTCTGACCGGGGAAGTGAAGAAACTATGATTTGTATTTATTTAAAATGTATAAATAAAATGTAATGATAAAAAATGTTCGTAGTCTTATTTCAACCGCGACCCCAAAATGAAGGTAGTGGTGCAGAAGCAAAAGCTGCTCGTTCAAAATCTCGACACGACGCCAAATGTGGACCGCAAAAAAACCCATGGCGTATTACTTCCAAACAGCGTAAGATGCGTCATTTGTGGACCGTCCAATTGTGGTAAAACGAATACGATGCTCAGTCTGCTAACTGAACCTAATGGTCTCCGATTCAAACACGTGTACGTCTATTCGAAATCGCTGAATCAGGACAAATATAGGGTTTTGGGGGAAATTTTGCAACCAATGAAGAATATAGGCTTCTTCACATTCAACAAGAACGCGGACATTATGGAGCCCAGTGCTGCCAAACCTAATTCGGTTTTTATCTTTGACGATATCGCTTGTGAAAAACAGGATAATATTAGAGCGTACTTTTCAATGGGCAGGCATAACGCCATCGATTGTTTCTACTTGGGTCAGACGTATTCTAAAATTCCTAAACAATTGATTAGAGATAATGCCAACTGAATTGTCCTATTCGAACAGGACGACTTGAATTTGCGACATATTTATGAAGATCATGTCGCACCCATAATAACCATGCAGCTGTTTCGAGAGATGTGTTCGGAAAGCTGGCGAACCCCGTATGGGTTTATGGTGATAAATAAGGATGCGGATGTGCAAAACGGTCGTTTCAGGAAAGGCTTCGATCACTATATAATACCATGAAAACATGTTTATTGTTCAGTTCAACTGTAACAGCTTTAACAGCTTTACCAGCTTTTAACAGCTTTAATACCTCTAACAGCTTAACAGCTGAACGGCTTTAACTAACAGCTGAACAGCTTTAACCGCTGAACAGCTTAACAGCTTTATTGGGGGGAACAGACCCTGTTCCAGTTGATCTGTTCATTTGATATCGGTTTACCTGTTCCGTTGATCATGGATAATAAGGAGATGGCCTTGAAACGACGAATAGTTCAGGCGCGTAAAGCGATACAGCAAAAGTACAATCGTCTCAAAGCGGATCGTTTTATTAAAGAAGTGGAATTTGTACGAACGTATAAACCGCTAATTCAACCGCTAGCTCAGATCGTAAAGAAAATCGAACCGCTGCCATCATCGGTTATGGAAACGAAAAAGGAGGAGCCATCAGAGGATGAAGTATTTACATCACCTCCCAAAAAACGTCAATCTCCTATACAAAAAGAAAGACACCACCACAGCGTACGACGCCTGCGATACCTTATTACACGCGAGTGAGACGTAGGCCCTCTTCCCTTACCGAGATCAGTCCGCTAGCTAGACTTCCCTACTTTCAAAAATATCCACCAACTGATATTAGTCCTATGGTTAGACCTTTTCATCCCACGGCTACTCCATCATTGAGACAGCCGCCATCATTTCTACAGAGTACAGTGATAGGAGAGCATCAACCGGAAGAAGAGGAAGACGAGTCCTCTATCGCATCAGAATCATCTGCTTCATTACTTGATATGCAAGGTTCGCAAGCCTTTTTGGAACAATACAAACACCTACCACGTATATACGTTGAGCGCATGATAAGAGATACGAGTAATGCAATTGACACCACCTTTGGAATTCATTATAATGTCGAAACGGATAAGTGGAGAATGGGCAAGACTGAGGTGACGATAGATGACGAAGATTTGGTCATTAACGGGAACCGGTACAAAGGTACTGCGGGGCTATACGAACTTATCATCATGAATGAACCGGATGAATCGCTAGTATCCAAGCAGGATAGAAGTAACTATAAGCAGATAATAATAGCAACTCATGTCGCACGGCGCAATTACGACCCCACAGAACAGATTCGTGGCAATAAGAGCAAAAAGTATACGCTTATAATAAAGCCTCTACTAAAGGAGGAGGAAGCGGCGAATAGGGGGCGTGCGAAATCGGGAAGCGGTATTACTCTATTCAAGGAACTCGACCGGCCGATCGAATTCAAATACTGGAATAGCGTGCATGAATTGATTAGAGACCTAGAGGTTTTATGGGGTGAAAAAATGGCAGGCAACACAGGAGTAAAAAATGATATAATATCAATCGTGGAAGAGCTGTACGAGGAGGGTTACATACAAAAGCCCACGCAGCGATTTTTACGTCAACTAGTATAAATACCCCATTTCCGTCTTCCCCGCCTACATTCATCATGGATAAATTCGGACGTTCTCATACCCATGCTCAATTTGGAAAATTGCTAAAGACAAAATTTTCCATTACCGACGATACTATAAATGTGGAACGTAAGAGACTAAGTAATGTTGAGGATCCTATTGAACGTCATGATGCTCTAACCTTACAACATTACCTATCAACAAGACTGGATCTCAATGGAAATCGTTTGATGAATGTGGCCGATCCAGTAGACGATGGCGATGCCATAAATAGAGGATACTTCATGTATTACATGCAGATTGCGAAAGTACCTGTAGACGGTCTTCGTAATTACGTGGAGGCACTAGAGGAAGAGTTGAAGGCGGTCAAAGCAACCCTACATAAACTAATAGAGGATGCAGCAGGTGGTGAACGAGTTACACAAAGCGGCGCGCAAAAACTTCCCCCGTAGACGTATCATCATTAAAGGCTTCGATGATCTTTGGCAAGCAGATCTAGCCGAATTTATACCTTACGCAAAAGAGAATAAAGGCTACAAATACATATTGGTAGTTATCGATTGTTTTTCAAAATATCTATGGACGCGAGGGTTGAAGACTAAAACGGGTGAGGAGGTGACAAAAGCCGTACAGGCTATTTTCAAATCTACGAGACGCAGACCGAAAAATCTACAGACCGATGCCGGGAAGGAATTCTATAACAAATCATTCGCCAAATTGATGATGCAAGAACGCATTAATCACTATTCCACGTACAGTACGAAAAAGGCTGCACTGGCCGAGAGGGTTATAAGAAGTATAAAAAACCCCTTGTACCGGCAGTTTAGTTTACGTGGAAAATATGTATGGATAGATGCAATCGAATCGATCACGAGCGAGTACAATAATCGTAAACATCGAACAACGGGGATGAAACCGATCGAAGTGAAGGCCGATACAAAGCTGGACGCCTACCGCCACATCAAGCTCTTCAACAAGAGATATCGTTTTAATGTTGGCGATGTTGTTCGAATTAGCAAATTTAAATGTATATTTGCGAAGGGCTACACACCCAACTGGTCTAGCGAACTATTCAAAATTGTAAAAGTACGAATAACCAATCCGGTGACGTACTTATTGGAAGACATGAATGGAAAACCGATTTTGGGTGGATTTTATGAGCAAGAGTTGCAAAAGGCCAAATATTCAGATGTATATTTGGTTGAAAAAATACTCCGCCGGAAGAAGGATAAAGTTTATGTGAAGTGGTGGGGCTTAGAAGAAAAATCTTGGATCGATAAAAATGATATAGTTTAATATTGTAATTTTTTTAATAAATAAAAACAAATATTTTAGAGTGTTTTTTTTATTGTTACGTTTAAGGAATTCTCATAACCTATCTACTGCATCTAGTGTTGATGCTTAAATAAAACTCTATATATGCAGGTGCTATTTTATTTTCCATAAATATACATTTGATAAAGATATTTGAAAGCTCCTGGATCGTTGCACTGGTTCAGCTTACAGCTACAATTATAAAAAATTAATTTTTCAGCTTCTCACTCCCGATACACTACCTGCTCGTAGCCCCAAGGAAGAGTGTTAATGCAGTCTGGTTGAATAATCCGCTTATCGTCGTGCGGACTAAGGACCACTTTATTCTGTTTGATTGTAAATACAGAATGCTTTTTCGATCTGATGAGGTGCTGATGACTCTTTATAATGTCGGCATTAAACAGTGAGTTCTTGTAATCATCTATGGTGATTGTCTTAATACTCGCTGCAGTTGATCCCTTAGATTTTTTAACTACATCTTTTGTATCTACGCGATAAGCGTACATTTTAGCGCGAAGACCAACAAATTCCAGCATAATTTTGCCATTGCTTTCGTCCTTCATTAGACCGGGAACCTTTTTATTCACTAGCGGTATTCCAAAAACGTTATCGCGCTCATAACTGGACGTATCGAATAGATGTATATCCTCCTTTATCATCGACTCGTATATGTCGGGTACGTTGGTGAACGAGTAAATCAGACTGTCGGTATCGGTGTATAAGAGTTTAGCGTTATTTTGGAATTTAGGCAGTACGTAATCGTAATGGAAATTGTAAAGGAACGTTTTGGAAATGTCTAGAACCGCAAAACCCACATATATCGGTTTGTTGAGGAACACCTCTAATCGATTCATTTCAATAATGACCATATCGTTATCAAATAAGGTGCAACTATGAAAATTTGGTTTTGCAATGCACGCCATTGCTCCATATCTTCCCTCGTAGCGAGATACGAGACGTACATCTTTATATTTCCTTACGTTCCCCATTAATTTCCCAAACACACTGTTGACCCATCAATTTGAAAAAGTGTATTTCGAATTCGTTTTTTGCTTGCTTTCTCATGGTCGCATTTAAATCAACGTACGTACGTAGCCACGGCGATTGCTTGAAACGTAAGACGTGATGTATTTTCACTAATTTTAATCCGTGTCGGACGTACAACTTTAAATTCCGATAATGGACGACGTAGTTACGTTTCGCGTATAATGTCAGCAATAGTTTCTTTAATTTCGAGCCTGGGGGAATTCTATGTTCGGGAGCCAATGGCAGCTGACTGTGGGTCTTATGAATATGATTGGGATAGTCAAAATCGCATTCTAGAATGTAGCCAATGTCCGAATCGTCTGGATGATTTAATATGTCTAGCGTTTCAAAGTTTTCTACAAACGAAAATTCTCCGCATGGAAGCGGCTCACACATTGTGCGCCCATAAAGCGAGTTTACGTCCAAGTACATTAAGTAGTTCGTAGGGAGGTTGGGATCGTATCCGCTTAACATATATTTATTGTTCGCTTTAGCATATCGAGTACTACACTGAGTTACACCGCCTCGAGTTCCACTCTCGATGAAAAGAATTTGATCGATATCGGTTAAAAGTTCCAGTTTAACACCCGTAATTTTTAACATGGCGTCAAATGCGAGCCCTGGAGCCGTGTAATAGTGCAAAGGATCCAGCTGATACGTTTGCATGCAAGTGATTCGGAAAGTTTCGAAAATATCGGCCAAAAGAAGCACGTCCGTTTTTAAGTAAGGATCGGAGTATTGACCTAAGGTTTGAATGGAAAATACGCGCCACACGTTTGAAGCGTGCTCGTACTCTTCGTCAGTAATGTCCTCGTTATGTAAATGACTAAAAAATGCATCCTTTGGCGGTAAAGCGGTCTCATCTAGCTTTTCCCAACAATCCAAATATTCGTAGGGGAAAACACCTTTTCTCGTTAGCAGATTGAACTCGGTGTCGTTACGACTATAGGATTTAGTGATAGTTTTCTGTTCGTCACCCAAGTACGCTGATAATTTATCAATACTACTACTCATAAATCGGAACGAGTCGATAAATCGAAAAGAAATTTTTGTATTGTCCACGTATTTTGTAAAAGAGATGTACTTTTCTTTGTTTAATGGGAGCAATTTTATGTGGCCCGGTAAACCAGTGGATAGTTCTCGAATAAAAAAATGCGCATCGTAACCGCTTAGATTATGAAATACGACGGGAATTACGGTGCTATCTTGGTAGTTTATGTTGCACCGAGAGTGTGAAGCGCCCCTATACAGACCTCTGCCCTTATGATTATGGTCCCTACAGCGAATGTCCCCATCCACGAAAGGTTTTTCACAAATGTGACAGTGCGTGGCATTCTCGAAATCTTTGCGTTGCTCATCACTCATCGTCTCCATGGGAACTGGGTTGTTAAAAATTGTATTCGTCCAAACTGCAATGTCCCCTAATTGTTTAATAAACCATTGAATGCAGTCTGCGCCCCGATACAATGAAAATTTTGAAAGAGACTCATCGTATGAACATTTCAGATAGAACGCGATACTAAAGGGTATGTGTTTCTGGAATAATTTCGTACAATCATCGTTGTTGCCAAGATCGCCATCGCATTTAACTAGAATGCTTTCAAGGTCAGCGTAAATAGCGAACGGGACCTTCTCCTTGTACGCGTAATGCGCAAATTCTAAATATTTCTCTGTTTCGTTTGGTACCCTAGCAGCGCACTCGTTTATTTGCTGACAGTAGGTAGAGTGTTTCGCAAGAAGGGCGCTGGAGGAGAAATGGTTTAAGCATACATTGCAAAAAAATTTCTTATGACCCCACTTCGATAGTTGCGAAGATAATAAGGCCGACATATTTTTAATCCAAGCAAAATGGTAATGAGTTCGCGGACTGTCTTTGGAAGATAATACTAATAAATTTACGGTGCGAGGAGCATTGCGGTTGCTACTCACCATGAATGGCATAACACGCTGCTTTTCGACACAGTACAAATTAATAGAGAGATTGTTCAATTTCTCAAACTTCTTTACATCATTAAGCTTAATGGGGAATTGAATATTGCCACGATTTAACACGGTATCGAAATGAGGATATTTTGACACCCTATCTACATGATTGTTCGCCGGATACAAAGCCGAAACTATTGCCCAAAGAAAGCAAAATTCGTCATTATTTTTTACATTAATAACCGCATGCTTTCGAGCGATAAATTCTGGCGTTTTAATGAAAGTTGAAATACCGCCCCTTATGGGAACGTATTTGTTTATGTTTACTTTTAAATTGTGTATTTCCTGTAAAGCGAACCCGGACCCTTCTTCCTGATATAATGAAAGCTTATTCTGTAACCTATCGATCACTTCATTGTCATAACACTCGCGCAAATCAGTTCCCCCGTCAATAATCAAATTTTTCGTTGCAAACGTTTTCAAAGTGACATCGAGATTTTGAGGATTAATGAAACTACATACAAGAGCGACGTTTACTTTTAACATTGACTTACGTGACATAACGCTTACCTTTTCAGTGAAAATATCGTAAGCCTTTTGCAAAAAAATTAACGGGTCTTTGTATTCGAAATTCACAATTATACCAGTTAAAAGGCGAGATTTAAAACAGGAGTGCACTGAGCGCCAGATTAGAGGACGCACATTACCATTACCTAATCCACCACCTTGAACGTTACTTAGCTTTTTCTCTAGAAGCAATGCATAATATTTAAGAAGTGCCAAATTTGATTCTAATCTAGCCGGATTTTCATTTTTATTATATATTTTATTACTAAGAGCTTTTTCTACTATGGAAACATTATCACGTAAAATTGATAAATGACGAACAATCTCATCCCTATGTTTTAATAAAGAAATACACTCCCGTGTCAGATTTACGATCCGAGTGCTCATTAATCCTACCGGATGATACCATATTTGCACACGCCTGTTACGTTGCAATGTCACTGCACAGATGTGCGACTTGCACACGTTTATCTGTTTGAACTGAGGGTTCACGGGTGTCTTTATATTACCATCCTATGAGTCATGGTTTTTTCCAAGAAGAGTGCCTCCTTTGTTCTCACTTCTCAGAATTTTCTATGAGTCATCACCTTTAACCTTCATTTAGTTCAGGTAAGCTCCTTAGTTTCGACAACAACCACCCGGTTGCAGAATAGTAATTGTGTAATTATTAAACAGTATGAAGTTTCGATGAGAGAGACATGGAGAAATTAATTTTTAATCATGCTTATGCCCTCCGGAGACACTCTATGCGGCATTTTCATTTATTGTAATTTTTGTTTGGTTTTTGGGGACGTTAAACGGGGAAGGTATAGATTTGCGTCTATTAATTGCACGGCATGTGAAACTCCCGCATGAAATGGTGTATATAAAAATATGTTTCTAAATCTTTGTTTAGCGATGCAAATAGGGGTCTAACTGAGAAAGAATTTTATTCAAAAATGCATACGGTCATTTTTTCAATAAATATTTTTATACAATAACTAAAAATTGCATATTTCTATGAGCTGCTGCACGCGCCTCCCCTGTAACTTTAGAAGGGGCGCCTGCAATTATTCATCCTTGAACGCCTTGTAATTATAAGACTCTGATGTATCAATGAAAGTCATGAAACTTTATAGTTGGCATTTGCATGTGACAATTTTTTATGCTAGACATTTTTCACATGTATGCAAAACGCCTCTTAAATCCCGAACAGTGCAAAGGGCTATTTTGATCAGCACTTTTGTGTTGCACATCGCCTTCCAAGAACTAAAATAGTACAATGTACAAAGTGTCTTTTGTTTTGACCGTTGTTCGCAGGAAATTGCAGGAGCAGTTCGTATCTTTACGTCATCGCCCGATTTTCCTCAAACGCAATTTTTTCTAAGAACACCATTTGAGCATCGAACTAACTTACAGAAATAAAACATGCTACGTAAACGTATGTAAAATGTTGGGCAGATATGAAAGTCAATTTCGAAGAAACGAGAGAAGCTTTGCTTATATCATTTTTAAATCATGCTAAAGAAGGCAGTATTTCCTACAAAAATGTCCTTGATGCAATCTGGTTGCGGTTAAAAATTGTTGGACTTGAAACGCCGTTCCAGGAAAAAATTTGAGTCTTCTTAGCCTTGTAATTAAAATCGTACCTAGTAATTTTTCGCTAAAAATCCCCATAAATGCCTGTATTATAATTGAAAATAGACCCAATGCTTTGGAAATGTTTCATTAGTGAGATTATGAATGCGATGAACGTTATCGCAATTCTCTCATTTCCATTAGTTATTTTTAGGAGCAGGTACGTTCTTGACGAACACAAAGTCTTTTGCGTTCCCAATAAGTTTACTAAACTGTAACAACGAGAAAACTATTGGATATGACTGGAGAAATGTCATTTTTAATCGCGCAAATTGTTATCCACACTGTTCACGTAAAATGTTTGTAGCTAAACATGTCCTCAGTGTGATAAATAGGTGCATTTTTTTACCTCGAATCGTAACTATAAGCTAATAACGTATTAGCATTGAGTAAAGAATTTATTTATTCAAGCCTTCAAGCGATAGGCGATGTTATACCTAATTAATTAAATGTGTTTAATTAAGACATAATTTTTTATGCAAAATGAAATCAAATTATTAAAATTTGAGGTGCACGATTATTCGTTCTTGAATCCGTATAGGTACTCTTCTTTTACCTGAATCATGAATGCATTTATCTAGTTCGTTAGGCATTTCTGTGAGCATCCGTCATCGCATACGATTCTTAGAATTGGTACAAGGTGCGTACTGCATCCAATTTCAATGTATTTACCCTGACTGTTGCAAAGGGTGTAAGAGGTACAATCGATTAAACGTTCTTGAATCGCTTTGCTATGCATATTTTCAACTGGTGCTGCACCGTTATCAATACAACACTAACACAAGCTGCATGTGAAATAGTTGCAGCTATTTTTAAACGACATGGATGTAATCATGAGAGAGCGACCACTCCACAACTAAAGTACCTATTTTCTCATGGGCTGTTAATTTTATTTCGAAACGCTAGCGCAGTTCAGAACCACTCAATCCTAGTGACTTTTCTAGGAGGATTTTAGTGTGATTTAGAATCACCCGTACACTACCATCGACAAGAACCCTCAGGCGCAAACCGAATTACTTTAGCTCGGACGCAAACCTTCGAACTTTATCTCGAGCACAAACCTTGACAGCACAGGCGCAAACCTCG